TCACTCTAACAAACATATCGCTGGAGTCGACCAGTGAGTCAGAATGTGAAATGGGTGTCCTCGTAACACCGAGGTTCTGGAACAGGAGTAGAGTCCAGAAGTGGACGTAGAACCAGAAGTGGACGTAGAACCAGAAGTGGACGTAGAACCAGAAGTGGACGTAGAACCAGAAGTAGACGTAGAACCAGAAGTGGACGTAGAACAAGAAGTAGACGTAGAACCAGAAGTGGACGTAGAACCAGAAGTGGAAGTAGAACCAGAAGTGGACATAGAACCAGAAGTGGACGTAGAACCAGAAGTGGACGTAGAACAAGAAGTAGACGTAGAACCAGAAGTGGACGTAGAACCAGAAGTGGACGTAGAACCAGAAGTGGACGAAGAACCAGAAGTGGACGTAGAACCAGAAGTGGACGTAGAACCAGAAGTGGACGTAGAACCAGAAGTGGACGTAGAACCAGAAGTGGACGTAGAACCAGAAGTGGACGTAGAACCAGAAGTGGACGTAGAACCAGAAGTGGACGTAGAACCAGAAGTGGACGTAGAACCAGAAGTGGACGTAGAACCAGAAGTGGACGTAGAACCAGAAGTGGACGTAGAACCAGAAGTGGACGTAGAACCAGAAGTAGACGTAGAACCAGAAGTGGACGTAGAACCAGAAGTGGACGTAGAACCAGAAGTGGACGAAGAACCAGAAGTGGACGTAGAACCAGAAGTGGACTGAACCAGAAGTGGACGTAGAACCAGAAGTGGACGTAGAACCAGAAGTGGACGTAGAACCAGAAGTGGACGTAGAACCAGAAGTGGACGTAGAACCAGAAGTGGACGAAGAACCAGAAGTGGACGTAGAACCAGAAGTGGACGTAGAACCAGAAGTGGACGTAGAACCAGAAGTGGACGAAGAACCAGAAGTGGACGTAGAACCAGAAGTGGACTGAACCAGAAGTGGACGTAGAACCAGAAGTGGACGTAGAACCAGAAGTGGACGTAGAACCAGAAGTGGAAGTAGAACCAGAAGTAGACGTAGAACCAGAAGTGGACGTAGAACCAGAAGTGGACGTAGAACCAGAAGTGGACGTAGAACCAGAAGTAGACGTAGAACCAGAAGTGGACGTAGAACCAGAAGTGGACGTAGAACCAGAAGTGGACGTAGAACCAGAAGTGGACGTAGAACCAGAAGTGGACGTAGAACCAGAAGTGGACGTAGAACCAGAAGTGGACATAGAACCAGAAGTGGACATAGAACCAGAAGTGGACGTAGAACCAGAAGTGGACGTAGAACCAGAAGTGGACGTAGAACCAGAAGTGGACGTAGAACCAGAAGTGGACGTAGAACCAGAAGTGGACGTAGAACCAGAAGTGGACGTAGAACCAGAAGTGGACGTAGAACCAGAAGTGGACGTAGAACCAGAAGTGGACGTAAAACCAGAAGTGGACGTAGAACCAGAAGTGGACGTAGAACCAGAAGTGGACGTAGAACCAGAAGTGGACGTAGAACCAGAAGTAGACGTGGAACCAGAAGCAGACGTAGAACCAGAACTTTCCGCCAGAGTTTACAGCTGCTGAACGCAAAGAATAATAAAAATGAAATTAAAGATTATGAAACAAGAAGTAGAATCAGTGTTAGAAAACAGTAACTTCCATTCATCGGCAAGTTCCTTGTATGAAAGTAATTGTCAATAAACAATCATATAGCCCTTCCTCCCCCCCCCCCCTTTCCCCACCTCCCCTCATTTGTGGCGCATAGAGGGGAAAAAACAGACACCGATTCAAAACCTACAACTGCGCGCGTTTATGGAGGTAATCCGGGCGAGAAATTAATGCGCACGTATTTTATATAGTGAAGTGGATACGATACGCCATGCTTGTTAACTGTTTCATAAAAAGTACACTACTTTTGTCACTTACTGTATATTTTATTTGTATGTGTGTGTGAAAACGAAAGATCAAATAATTCGCCGCTGTAAGAAACCAGCAGCACCTGTGCAGTTGTAAATTATGAAATCCTAAAGACATGGGAAATTTAAGACTGTATGTAAAGAGTTCAATCAACAGTCTGTATACACAAAAGCCAGATCTGTAAAATAGGTGTGCAGGCAATTCTAAAGTTCTGGAACAAGGCGAAGTCCACAAGTGGACGAACAACCTGAATTTTCCGAAGAAGTTTACAGCCGGTGAATACTTAGAAGAAGTTCATCCATTTATATGCTACATGTTTAATTTAAAAATTGCGATACTACCTGAGGGTGTCATTTAACTCTTTGAGTCCCATAGGGTTTAGCATCACAGGCCCAAGGGGTAGTCAAGAGAGACGTAAAATCGTCGCAATGTGTGTTCATTGGTCTTCTAGGCAGTAACCCATGAACGTATGATGCGTTCCTTGGGACTCAAAGAGTTAATAATGACCTCGCCTTTCTATAGAATCAAATGTACTTCTAGACTTGCTCAACATGACAAATACAACATGTTGTCTTCGTTAGCTAGACCTGACATCCACCTGAGCCCAGAACTATAAAGTATCGACAGAGTTTGGGTCTAGTGTTTTAAAAAGCACCACATATTTCATAAATGCACAGGTAATTAGTCAAGCATAGGTCAAATAACAAACAAGTAAATATAGAAATTGTTTTCCCTTCTCACTCCAAATAAAAGGAGAGTTGCAGTATCGCTGTGTCTAGCTTGCTAACCCGGGTGTCCGGTGATTTTATGTGCAAAACACAAAGACGGCAGATTTTTAGACAAACAACTCTTTACCTGCACAGGACTACAGGCCCATGGTCAATGTATGTTAGTAAATTTTACCCCACCAGGACATCACACAAAGCGATAAACACCCGGTGACACAAGATACCACCATGCGGATGATGATAACCCGTGGAGAGGTCCTGAACACCGCGTTCAACCGTTAGGCCCCTGGCAACAGCTACGGTGGAGCTTAAAAAAACGAACAATTGCATACCTCAAGGGGGATGACGAAGATTATGAGGTAAGCTATGGTCGATGGAATCTGGAGGCTTAATTACATCGAGTCTCAAGCTCCCCCAGCCCCTTTTTTTCTGTTAAAATAATGATGATAATGTTGTTGATGATGATGATAATGATGTTGATGATGATGATAATGTTGTTGATGATGATGATAATGTTGTTGATGATGATGATGATGATAATGATGTTGATGATGATGATAATGTTGTTGATGATGATGATAACGTTGTTGATGATGATGATAATGTTGTTGATGATGATGATAATGATAACGATGATGTTGGTTATGCAACAACGTAGTTCATACAAAACTGTCATTATATCGCCTCATATCCCGTGTTTCAGATTCCAGAAGTCGGCATGAACAAGTTCGGCTACAACTATCTCCTCGCCACACTGGTACGTACCTTGTTGGCTGTGCGTCTTATGTTATGGTATAAGTGTTATGTTATCACAGTCGGCGTGGCAACATTGGTGCGTACCTTGTTTGCTGTGCATCTTATGTTATGGTCTAAGCGTTACGTTATCACATTTGGCGTGGCAAAATTGGTGCGTATCTTGTTTGCTGTGCGTCTTTGTTATGGTATAAGTGTTAGGTTATGACAGTAAGCGTGGCAAAATTGGTGGGTACCTTGTTTGCTGTACGTCCTATGTTATGGTATAAGTGTTATGTTATCACAGTCGGCGTGGCAACATTGGCGCGTACCTTGTTTGCTGTGCATCTTATGTTATGGTATAAGTTTTATGTTATCACAGTCGGCGTGGCAACATTGGCGCGTACCTTGTTTGCTGTGCATCTTATGTTATGGTATAAGTGTTATGTTATCAGTCAGCGTGGCAACATTGGTACGTATCTTGTTTGCTGTGCGTGTTATGTCATGGTGTAAGTGTTATGTTATCAGTCAGCGTGGCAAGATTGGTACGTACCTTGTTTGCTGTGCGTCTTATGTTATGGTATAAGTGTTACGTTATCACAGTCGGCGTGGCAACATTGGTACGTACCTTGTTTGCTGTGCGTGTTATGTTATGGTATAAGCGTTATGCTATCACAGTCGGCGTGGCAACATTGGCGCGTACCTTGTTTGCTGTGCATCTTATGTTATGGTATAAGTTTTATGTTATCACAGTCGGCGTGGCAACGTTGGCGCGTACCTTGTTTGCTGTGCATCTTATGTTATGGTATAAGTGTTATGTTATCAGTCAGCGTGGCAAGATTGGTGCGTACCTTGTTTGCTGTGCGTCTTATGTTATGGTATAAGTGTTATGTGATCACAGTCGGCGTGGCAACATTGGTGCGTACCTTGTTTGCTGTGCATCTTATGTTATGGTCTAAGCGTTACGTTATCACAGTCGGCGTGGCAACATTGGTACGTACCTTGTTTGCTGTGCGTGTTATGTCATGGTGTAAGTGTCATGTTATCACATTCGGCGTGGCAACATTGGTGCGTATCTTGTTTGCTGTGCGTCTTTGTTATGGTATAAGTGTTAGGTTATGACAGTTAGCGTGGCAAAATTGGTGCGTACCTTGTTTGCTGTACATCTTATGTTATGGTATAAGTGTTATGTTATCACAGTCGGCGTGGCAACATTGGCGCCTACCTTGTTTGCTGTGCATCTTATGTTATGGTATAAGTGTTATGTTATCACAGTCGGCGTGGCAACATTGGTACGTATCTTGTTTGCCGTGCGTCTTATGTTATGGTATAAGTGTTATGTTATCACAATCGGCGTAGCAACATTGGTGCGTACCTTGTTTGCTGTGCGTCTTATGGTAAGGTGTAAGTGTTATGTTATCACAGTCGGCGTAGCCACACTGGTGCTTACCTTGTTTGCTGTGCCTCTTATGTTATGGTAAATAATGTTATGTTATCGCAGTCAGAGTGGCAACATTGGTGCCTATCTTAATCGCTGGGCGTCTTATGTTATGATATACAATTTTGTGTTATCACAGTAACATATTTGTAAAACGGATATGCATGCAACACTCAGGAAGAAGACAATCGACGTCACTGCGTGCTCAGTCCTCAGTGCAGCAGTCACTCCTCTACCGGTTGTTGACAAAAGACATAAGTCATAATGTTTCCTTTTACCTTGGCATTGGAGACGGAATATACGTGTTTCACCAGGCTTCACACTGAGGTCACGCAATCGCTGTACACGTTGTTGTTGTTTTTTTGTTTTTTGTTTTTGTAATTTAAAGCGTATTTCGCCATTTCTGTCGTCATTTTATGTGAGAAATGAATTTTTATGTCTCACTGTCTAACACACACACACACACACACACACACACACACACACACACACACACACACACATTCCCTCATGCACTCTGTCATACGATCTTTCATAATACTATCTCTCACACTTCCACACTCTTACAAACGCTCTTACTCACTCTCTCACACAGTTCTCTCTCATTTGCACACAGATTCTCTCTCTCTCTCTCTCTCTCTCTCTCTCTCTCTCTCTCTCTCTCTCTCTCTCTCTCTCTCTCTCTCTCTCTCTCTCTCTCTCTCTCTCTCTCTCTCTCTCTCTCTCTCTCTCTCGTCGCAACCCAACCTCAGCATGTGTTGCCGGTTGCGAAATTCTATTAGGCGGTTTTAAGTTCACCTTGTTGAAAACAATGCAAAGACGCCACATTCGATTTGTGCAGTCATTTTATTCCTTGATCTTGCATGTAGGTCAGCCAATGTCCTCAGTCTCCCCTCAGTTTCACTCTCTAGCTCCCCTCTCCCCCGTGTCTGCCTTTATTTCTTTGACCTTGTGGGTTGCAGGGTAACAGACATTCTTGCTAAATAAAGAGCCCTGACAGCCGTTTATGTGCATATATTTCAAAATAATTTTTTTTACAGGATTTCCAGTCCTTGAACTTGTCTCGTTTTCGACACGGCGGGGTCAATGTCACGGGGTTTCAGTTACTGGAGAGCTCTCCAGACTCAGCGGAGGACCTGGTCAAGGACATTAGCAAGGTCAAGAGTGAGGAGAAGAGGCAGAGCAGCCATGGCCTCCCGGTGAGCTGGTAGAGTTACTTCTGTTTGTGTGTGTGTGTGTGGGGGGGGGGAGTATGTTTAAAGTTAAGCAACAGTAGTGTATTGATTACACGAGTCTTAGATACTCTTTTATGACGTTAACACATTTCATTCTAATTTCTTCTTCTTCTTCTTCTTCTTCTTCTTCTTCTTCTTCTTCTTCTTCTTCTTCTTCTTCTTCTTCTTCTTCTTCTTCTTCTTCTTCTTCTTCTTCTCCTCCTCCTCCT